CTCTAATGTCAGCGCGCTACACGGGCTGGTATGTTGGCTTTACTAAAAAAGGGCGTCCTCGCCGTGGTCCGCAGACGCTTCCCAACCAGCAGGATGTACACTTCATGAAACGCTTCCCACCGGGAGAGCAGCCTGACCTCACCACTCCATTTCGCTTCACCACCGTCAGCAAGCGGGGCAAGAGGGTGCGCGCTACTGGGCCCCGCTAGTTGTGGCTAACTCTAGCACCCACTGTCTTGTCATCCAAAGCCTTGACCTGAGCCTGCCAATAGCTAACCCTTTCATTCCTTCTGTCACACATGACTGAACACTTCCCTTTGTTGGGAAAAACATTGACCAGAATATTAATGAATCATTCATGGGGTTTAGCTCTACACCTGATTTGCCACTACAGCCTCCCTAGTTAATGATCATTCCTCTCAGTTTAAGTTCCCCTTACTGGACCAACAAGACCAATAATTGGTCCAATGCTGGAAGCTCTTTGGACCTGGTGTGCTTCCCTTCATTTTCTAGATACACTGACAGTGAACCTGAAGGGCAGCCAGAGTCCCTGGGGTCTACAAAGGCCTTTAGTTCACAACCACAAAAACCACAAGGCCTTTGTGTCTCCTGTTCTGTACCAGCTGGACAATGTCAAGTATGGGATTACAACTGGACCATGCAAAACAGACAAGGGTGAGAAAGACTGACTGAACAAGAGAGTGGGTGCTTAGCCTGCAGATAAAGGGAAAGAATGATGGAGAAGACATGAAAATGGTTGAATGGACAAAAGGGATATAGTGATCTGCTCAGATCAAATGGACCAGTAATGGACTGTTGACATGTGTCGCACTTATTTGTCTCACTGCTAAATTAGTTCCATCCTGTGAGGCTATTGGATGAATGGCAGGGTGAATGAGGGAATGTTCGAATGAGTGGCTTACTGAATAATTGCATGTTTGCAAGAAGTCAATGAGAAAATGTATGTTAGAGTGTGTGTGTCAGAGTGAGCGAGTGCAACAACCATGAGTGAAGCTGGATCACGGGGGACTCTGGAAAGGGACCATGTAGTCCCTGCATGAACCTGTGACAACTCACCGCAGGGACTGAAGCTTTAGGAACTGGAATGTATAAGAATAAAAATACACACACAAAAAAAAAAAACAAGCTGCACCAAAAACAGCCAGCAAAATCACAGCAAAACCAAACTAACAACCTGACCAAAGACAACTGGAAGACAACCTTCTTCATGAATCCTCCCCCCCCAACAGGACATGACATCCTCAGCCTTTAGGCACAGAGGATGATGAGTGCCGGGGCCGAGCCCGCCGGGGAGGGTGCCTTTTCTTTTAGCATCGCTATGGAAACGACCCAGGGGATGATGCTCCTGTGCGATACCGTGGATACAGAGTGCTGCTACCAGGACATTCAGTGGAACAAACCAAAGTCTCATGCATAAACACAGGAGAAAAAAAATATTAAAGGGAACAATTTATTGAAAGTTCTATATATATATTATATATATAAAAGAAGACAGAAACCCTAAATAAGCAATCTTACTATGATGGTTACTATAATTATTATGATAAAATTATTTCATTTATTTATTTCAGCTCTGTGTGCAGCAGTCTTTCTCGACTCAGTAAACCTTACAGAAACATTTTCTTTGTCTCCCGTCCTCATTCAACTTCACCTGTTCCATTTTGTTTAAAGGGCCACTTTCACAGACACACCTCATCTGACCTTCTAGTGATTAATACGTTGTTCGAAAACCTATCACTTGGCAGCCTTTTTTGTTTTAATTTAAAAATTAAATATCTAAGTAATTTATTTGGCCAAATATTAAAAGTTTTGTAAGTTCTAGCTACTGTAATACAATGGGTCGATAGCTTTCTGTGTTTTATATCATTTAGAACTTGTTTTTTCAGGTTCAGGCTCACCTCTACGTAGATTTGGTCTGCATTAAGGGTCCTCACAGATCTTCTGAACAAGCAGACAAAAGATAAGCTAAATACAACACACTGAGATAGATAAATTATAATAGAACTTATGCAGCATCATGTAGGATTGCAAAATTGCGACTTCTGAGTGGTAGCTGCTGGAATAAAGCTGTTTTTTGTTGTTCTACGCTTTGGCATTAGAAGCCTTTCTACAAGAGGAAGAGAAACTCACTATGCAAACTGGTTAAGTAACACCAGTACCCAGCTAACCGCTGTAACTGTCTAGGCCATATCTACAGATATCTGGGTTCAACTGTGGGTCACCAATCAGCCTCTGAGACAATTTAACAATTTGAGTAAGAGCTCTGTTCTTTACAGATGAATATTCACACACAAACACACACACACACACACACACACTAAATAAAACTGTGATAAAATAATTGATTTAAATAACAGATTCATCACTGTTGGGTTTTCGGACTGATTGAAAAAACGAAATCTCAAGACATCACCTTTGATTGAAAAGCTTCCGAAGGCGTTAGGTTTGAGTTCCATAAGCTACGATCAGGTCAATCCTTATGATTGTTTTTTTATGTAAGATGCCCTGCTTTTTGCAACCCTCAAGGGATTTGTGTGTCCTACCAGAATCAAACCAGCTATCTTTAATTTATTAGGCAAATGTGTAAACCACTAGTAGACGCAGGTTTAATCTCTTTTTTTATGTTTGTGGGAGAATTCGTGATCTAATGCTGTAAATCTGAGACAAGCAGGGTTTGCAGTATCTAACTTAATATTTTAAGCATGCAGGAAATAAATATCACAGTAACAGTATCGAGTATTTTGATATAAACTTATAACTTACAACAACCAATTTTGCCCATTTGTATAAGGCTTACTTTTTGCATTTATAACAAGATACTGGCTGCAAATTAAAATTTGTTGATAGCACATTATTTTATTCATTTTTTTGTTAAAAAACTGTTGAAAAGTTTTGAAACGGTTTCTGAGCAAATACCACAGGAATGCTGAGTAATGGCAAAAACCTGCCTCTTTTTCACCAGCCAGGTTTGGGAGGTACTGTGAAGTTGAAATGGAAGTTGAAATACAGCAACAAAAATACATCGTCCAAACTAGAAGTTCTTTTACCAGCAGATGTCTAACAGAGTCAAGGTGCAGGGGACCTCGGCAGAACAGGTTCTCAAGTTTTCATAGTCAGTATGGGCTGAATTAGTCACTGTAGCTCAGACACTAAAATGCATGGAAAATACATCTCTAAGATTTACCAGCCTAACACAGGAACCATTTGAAAATACTTAAAAAAAATACTGAGCATTAGTTGCCCGTGCAAAAACCAGCAGTCACTTCCCTGCTGTAAAGCTTTGCAGTCAATTTCCATCATGGAGGATCAGACAACAAGCAGTAGTGAGATACAGTTTCATAGTTGCTTCTTTGCTCATCTTATGCCCCATCCCTCCCCTTCCTTCCCTATCCTAGCAGGAGGTCAGTGAAAAGATGTCACTGCCAAATGACCCAATCATGTCTGCAGACACAAACAGCTGACTCAGGGGGGGGGGAAAGGGTTGTACCAGAGGATTCCTGTTGCAAAGCAGCAGGAATCT